CCAATCCAGTTGTAGGCCTCATTCCTGACTGAGGCACTGGCACACACAGAAAACAGATATATGATGGAATGTCATAAAAGGTCTGTGTTTTTTCTAAACCTTTAAACACTTTCCAAAGTACAAATGCAAAGACTGGACAAGCTTTTACCACAGACGCATGCTCTTACAAACCTGGTCTCAGCTATATTGGTAGCAATCACAATCTTTCGAACTCCAGGAGGAGGCCTTTTAAAAACCTGAGAAGAATTAGAGAGAAAAATTGAGCAGGACATTTGTGATATTGAAAGGGGACTAAAGTAGGACACAATTGACAAAGAGATGGTCCGAGAAAGAGAAAAAAGAGAAACTGAAGAATACTGACCTGTGTCTGGTTAACAGTTGGCATGAGGGAGTGTAAAGGGATGATAACAAACCGGTCTGAAATGCAACAGGACACAAAAGAAAAACTCAAATAAAACACTGACTGTCAATTTAAGATACAACTAGTCCATAGGCTGAACAATTATGTGTTCTATAACAACAAGTATCATGAAACCATGGAGAATTCTACAGCCACAGCACCCCTACTTCAGATAGGTGGAAGATAACGGATGAATGGAAAAATTGCACCACAAATAGTGACATAGTTGCTGGAGTCCACTTAACTTAAAATGACATACGTGTTTAGCAACTTTGTCTTTACATACAAATATACGCAAAATACAAGCAATCAGCAACCAGCGGAGTCAAGTCATCTTTTGCGAAAATATAAGCTGGAAGACAAATCTTTCATAATACAGAGCCTTTATTTCCAAACCTTTGCTAAACTTTCAGAGTTAACTGTATATCACAACTGACAAAGAGACCAGTTGACTATTGCAGTCAAACTCTATTTGTAATCTGTCACCAAATGCAAAACCAGCAATCGGGAAACCACCCTCATTTTGACTCCAGTGAGACTAAGCCATAAGCAGTTAAGAAAATGGGTGTATTTCAACAAAGTGGCGCAATGATGAGTGCTGTCTCGTCATGGTAAGAAGATCCTGGGTTTGAATCTGCCCGTGTCAGTCCGCTCCGGGTACTCCATCTTTCTCGCACAGTTCCAAGACATACTTGTTAGGTTACGTGGCGATTCTAAATCGGCCTTAAGTGTGAACTATGAATGGTTGTCGTCTCTCTCGCCTTGTGATAGACTGACGACCTGTTCAGTGTACCCTGCTTCTTGCTCTATGACAGCTGTAATAGGCTTTTATATTGCTGCGACCCTGAATTCAATAAGTGGTTAAGAAAATCAAAGGATGGATTTCTCAACTGTGGAACAGAAAACTGTATAGTCAAAGCAAGAAAGAAAAATTGCAAGACACCGACGTGCATTCACTTCCATGCTGTACATCCTGAATGTGTGTTTCTGTTTGCATACCTGATCGGAACATTTGCTGAGCCATGAGAAGGTCATTGAGAGTACTGATATTGTCCCAACCAGGCAAGAACACCAAGATTGCTCCTTCCTGTCCAAGACATGATACAAAACTCTCAACACAGCTGTAAGTCACAAAATCCAGCAGGGTCTCAGTAGATTGCGGGTCCAGCAAACAAGATGCCCATGACCTCAGAGGAGCTGAGCTGAGGCAGATACTGTAGATATGATTTGCTCTCAGCTCCCAACCTCTACATTCACATTCAGACACAAAATAGCCACTGAAACTCCAACATCTTTATGACAAATGCATCTTTATAGTACAGGAGAGCATCTGATTAACATTAACAAAAGCACTGACTTAATTTTCCCCACAATAGCAAAGAGAAAAGGAAATCAATAAGTCACATGAAAAAGTACAGACACAGAAACGCTAGCTGTGAAAACATAAGAAGAGAAGACTAAATGCTGAGGAAATCTCTGCGCATTGAGCTCTTTTGTCAGTGGCTGCAGATTGCTGACCACTTAATGGATATCAGGCATCGGCGCCTCATTCACAAAGCCAAAATCCATTACAGTAATGCTGTAATGGTTT